ACCATAACCGACCAGCCCCAACCCTTCTTCCACCTCCATCACCTACACCTATCCACCATAGCCGACCACCCCCAACCCTTCTTCCACCACCATCACCTACACCCATCCTCTATAGGCGACCACCTCCAACCCTTCTTCCACCTCCATCACCTATTCCCATCCACCATAGCGGACCACCCCCAACCCTTCTTCCACCTCCATCACCTACACCCATCCACCATAGCCAACCACCCCCAACCCTTCTTCCACCTCCATTACCTACACCCATCCACCATAGCCAACCACCCCCAACCCTTCTTCCACCTCCATCATTTACACCCATCCACCATAGCCGACCACCCCCAACCCTTCTTCCACCTGCATGACCTACACCCATCCACCATAGTCGACCACCCCCAACCCTTTTTCCACCTCCATCACCAACACCCATCCTCCATAGCCGACCACCCCCAACCCTTCTTCCACCTCCATCACCTACACCCATCCACCATAGCCAACCACCCCCAACCCTTCTTCCACCTCCGTCACCTACTCCCATCCACCATAACCGACCACCCCCAACCCTTCTTCCACCCTCATTGCCCGCACCCGTCCACCATAGCCGACCACCTCCAACCCTTCTTCCACCTCCAGCACCTACGCCCATCCATAGCCGACCACCCCCAACCCTTCTTCCACCTCCATCACCTACACCCATCCACCATTCTACTACAAGAGGGGCAGGCATCGATCTGACGACTGCCCCAAGAGCCTCAAAGATGAAGCAAGTGGCTTGGTTACCAGAGACTCATCCGGGAGGTGGAGAGATAGGAATGAGACCCCAGTTCTTAAGACTCGTGATTGGGTGAGGGCGCAGTTGTATATGCAGCTGCATGTGGTCATGAGTGATTAAGAGTAGGGTTCATTAATAGGGTTCGGAAAGATCTATAGCTAGCATGTATAAAACATCTCTGACTTAGTAACTGATGAATGATTATATATAGGAGGACACATGGAGGATTGGATCACGGTCATGTACATCAGTAACTAGAGTTGACATTGAGATGTTTACCTTCGCATTATGGACTTTCTGGATTAATGGTATATAGGGTAACATTGAGTGTGACTCTGATTACTTCGCCTTTTCTCTTTCTTTAATATGGTGTGGAGTGTTTTTAGATAGTGCTTTGGTGAGTTTACGTTTCTTTCTCTTCCAGAGTGGTGTGAGATAGGCCGTATGTGACTGGTATAAGGTGTGGATACTTTGACTTTTTTGGATACCTTGACTTCTTTTTTTGATTTTTCGTTTGGATGCTCTGATTCCTTGTTGAATACTGTGACTCTTTGTACAATACCTGGATTATTTCTACGATATTTGGTTTCTTTTGTGCTAAATATATGGATTCTTTGTACGATACTTTGATTTGGTTATTGCAAGGCCCCAGATTCTGCATACATGTGCGAGTCCCTGACTTTATTCTTTTTGTGTGGTGTGTCACACTCACTCTCGATTTATGGACTTGCCCAAGAATGATTGTTGTGATGAAATAAATGTTGTGAAATGACCTGATCTGCACTATCTTCGTCTGTACTTAGGCATATCTGTCATAATTGCAGACGAAGTCATAAGTACAGTGAAAGAAAGTGCACCTCACGTCTGTCTGAGAGAAAGACATATGTTGTAATCTGCAAAGGTTTAAATGATGGTAAATGGAAAAGTCACAACTGAAGTTGTGTCTTTTATATGACTTGGAAGAGAAAGAGGGAAGCCAATGACCGATTGGACTTTCTTAAAAGGAAGCAAATTGTGAGAGCACTCAAATGAGGTGCTATAACGATGAGAAATTTTTGTGTACATGAAAGTCTGACGAGGAAAGACCATAAATTTTGTGAGAAATATGGATGGAAACTTCTGGCAATTATGATGGAATTTGGAACACATTTTTGAGAGATGTCCCTAAGACGTGTGACCTTACCTGCCCTGATCAAAGTAAGGGAGGTATGACCTTGTGGGTTTTATTGAGTACCTTGTTGGAATGTTGAAAAAGACACTATCCCTCCACTTAGTCTCGTGGACAGTTGGTACGTGATCTTTGGTTGTGCTGAAAGCTTTTGAAAGAGGATGCCAGACCACAATGAAGTCAGCCTAAGGGACATATTTTGTGAGGCCAAGCTAAGGGGCTATACTTAGCATCGCTGAAACTATAGAACCTAACTCCCAGCGAGGGCCGCTGACCGTCGCAACCTGGCAGTCGGACCATGACTCGCCTAAGGTTAAGTCTTGAAGGGTCGGCCGCCCGGAGAGGTTTAACTAGAGGGAGAGTTATTGGGGTCGATCAAGTCAAGAGTCGGGACCCTTCGGGGTGCCCAGATAGAAAGAATTGCTTATCGTTGCGCAACCAACGAGGGCACCATCGCTATATAACAACGGGGTGGGCCGTGGATTCGGCATGATCAACCGTTCCGCCATGGGCCAAGATGGAGACCTAAAACCACCTATGTTAGACTCCAGGATGGGAGTTCATTATGATTGGATATTTGAGATGGTAAGCATTACCATATGGGGACTAAAGGTGCCCCGTATTTGAAAGAGGTTTCGGTTAGGGCCCGCGTTCTAAGTTATGACCCCGTACGCAGGACGATGACTGAATAGGACACCCAACGATGAACCGGCAAACGTCTACGGCGAAGGGAGAGGACTATCAACTTGCTACCTGGGAGCAGATGTTATGCTGTAGTACGGTGTAGGGGTCGTACCCTGAAGGACTTTCGAGCATGAGTCGACCCCACTACGGGTCCCATTTGGCTCGACCCGCCCACGCTCACACTCAGGGCGCGGGTCGTTCGTCCCAGGGGCATCCCCACCTAGTGCTTTGAGATGGATGGGGATGGACCTTTTGCAAGAGGGCTTTACATTGGGGGATGTAGCTCCGCTCTCGATGGTAGCTCTTTAGACACTCGTGGCGTTTGTTTTATTCTTTTAGTCTGATCAGGCATTTGCTCCTTCCAATACGCAGGCAGTCCAGGAAGTTTATTGAGAGTTCATATTCATTTCGTGTGTAGGCCAAGCGTCATCCATTGGACCACACCCCTTTTCACTAAGCCTAACGACTCAAGACCGCCCCTGCGGCATCCTCGGGGTGGGGTGGCATCGTCCGGACCCCTAGCCGTTATTTTTTTTTAATTTTTCTTGCGTCAATAGTATTGCATTCACCTATCCAATACCGCCCTTAGTTCTTCCGGGCGTATACTGCATTCAAGAGAGTCGTTGCATTCAATCGCCATGCAAGCCGCATTCGGGCATCTACCAGTCATCCAAGCATCCAACCGTCAAACCCATCCTGCATTTATAGTTTATGCGAGGTCTAAGTCCCTCCCTTATCCAGTTTTCCGTAGATCCAGTCCCGCCCGACACACATCCCGAGCTACTCACCTGCACAACGCCACACAGGACGAGAGGCTCAAGTACAATCCCCATTGCGGTCAATACATCGCTCCTTCCCACAAGCCTAAGATTCTTTTACCTTCGATGTTCCTTAGGTTGTCTTTCCTCTTCCTTCAAGCAAAATCATGCCTTTACCTTAGTCAAGCAGTCGGGGAGGATGGTTGAGTCCAACTGACCTTGTCACAAAAACAACACTCCTTTCCGCTTTCACAGATGTTCCCAACAGCCTGGTATGCGTTCCTTCCTGGTGGCACAAGGGACCGACACTCCTTCCCTTGCCCTCGCTTTCCACCAAGTGAGGACCAAGTTTTTTTCCGTTCGTCCCCTGGCAATGTAACAGGCAAGGATAGAGGTTAGTCATATGCCACGGAGGGGAAGGAGTGAGGGAAGGGGCAAGGGCTAAAGAGTTCGAAGGAATGGGGAGGAGGGGGGGAGAGAAAGAGAGAGAGAGAGAGAGAGAGAGAGAGAGAGAGAGAGAGAGAGAGAGAGA